CCCCAAAACCCCAAAACCCCAAAACCCCTTCTACTACTTTTCTATTAGAAGTAGGTAGGTAAATAAATTAAAGTTTATTTATACAATATTAATCGAATGATGTTACCACACAGTGATTCGAAAAGAACTCAATTAATCTCTTAATAAAACTATCAAAAATTTCAAAATTTCTCGAGTGCTAGATAGGATTCAGAAAAATTTAAAGAACCTTCATATATGATAGGATACTGAGTTAGAATTTCTCAGGAAAGATAACTAAATTGCCAGATCTATTAAAATGATTGTAAGAAACCAGTCTATACAATGACTACTCTAAACACTGATGGCTCATGCACAAGAGTGAAGAACCTTGTAAACTATAAGTAAGCAAGAGATGAGAGGAAGCTAAGCAAGTCAAGTACGAATGTGTCAAATTAGGTTGGAACCGCCTAAAAAGGGAAATTTAATAAGCAATTGAAATTATACACAGAAGAAGATATTAAGGTGCTGGTAAACTAAAATACCATACCTGTTTAATAGATTCTTATGAATGTAAATTAAACTTGTACTAATTAGATGTACTAATCCCGTCGGGATACAATCATATAGTCTTCGAAATCCAAAGATCAACTACAATGTATAATTGAGAAGCTCCCTCGAAGTTAAAATTTTAGTCCAGTCAAGAGTGCAGACAAATAAAATTCTAACAATCAAGACATCAAAAAAGGCTAGAATAAATTAGTATCTAATGATCAGACAAAACTTTAAGAGTACTCCAAATTTTAGTTTGAAAGTCACAACAAACTTAAGATGAAACTTTAAGTTGAGAAGGAAGAGAGTTCTCTTGTAAGAAGTCAGATCAAAGATCCTGAGAATACTAATCAATAAACTGCTTTCTAAGTGATCAGAATTGAATGTGCTGGCAACAATAACATAGTTTTTAAGAAACATGATTAAAATAAGAATAAAAACCGCCCTATTGTTTTATTAGACAATGATGATCCAAACTGTCTTGACTTTCTTGATAACGAAGAGTTAAATAATAATACTGAAGATTACTATGCAACTGAAAAAATTGAATATACTATAGATGATTAGGAGGAAGAAGAGTCACCTTTAAATTATGATATAGTTAAAGAAGAAATGCCAAAACTAACTAAAAAAAGCCTTACATTTTTCCAAAGAAGATTTCAACCATCAAATAGCAAGAGTCCCAAAAGAACTCAAAATATACTGAGAAACAATCAGCCAATACAAATCTATGATAGGAATTGTAAGGAAAGTTCTAATGAGTCCCCGCTTCAAAGTATTAATAGTCGGAAAAGGCAACAACTTGGCAACTAAATTATCCGTAGATAAAAAAGTATAATTTAGATGATGAATTAGAAAAATGCTGATGTAAATAGAGAATCTCTAGGAAAACAATTTAGGACCAAGGTAAACTCTCCTATTTAAGAACTTAGCAAATGTGAAAGCGTAACTGAATTTGCAGATGCAATCAGAGATGTATCCAAGTAATCTCCCAAGAAATCTAAGAATAAGAGTCCTTCAAAGGAGAAAATGGTAAAGCTTGAAAAGTAGTATTCAAATACTATATTAAATACAGAGAATTATAACTCAAGCAAAAATAAAATAAGACCCAAAAAAAATTAATCAAATGACAGAACCTCTACCAATTTGAGAAAATCCTAAAATTATTTATAAGGTAACAAGATTTCTTAAAATAGATAATCGAATTTGAGCAGTAAAAACAATAAATTTGAACTTAAAACTGTTAATAATGCTTTCTAGTGTAATCTCCATAACTAAATCTAGCCAAAGAGGCAATCGATACTTGAAAGACTTTTGACTTAATATGAAACCAATCAAGATAATAATATTGATACAGTTGTATCTCCTCTTAATACATAGAATGACTTAATTGAGATAAATTAATCAAAACATAAGATTTCTGGAGCAACTTCAAGAGGATAGTAAAAAAGATCAAACATTGATTTATTGTAACAGACTTAGAGCCGATAACCATAAACACTTCAGAAAAAGCTAAACAGCTAGAGAATGATTGAAGATCCCTAGGTTATAATTGATAAAAGCTAGACAAAGATAAAGAGTCCATAAAAGCAGCTTTTATAATAGAAGTTCATTGCTTCACTTGCCACTACTAGATAATCTAGTTAAAGAAATTCAATTACTTCTAACCAAGTAGGTCTTAAAAACAAGTGATCGTAATAAATACATATATTCATTATTAATGGAAAGGAGTAACGGAGGAAAATCTTAAGGTTTTAAAACATTTAATTTCATGATCATTAATTTTAAATAAATAACTGAATGACGGGGTTTTGGGGTTTTGGGGTTTTGGGG